TAGGTTTGCAAGAGGTTCCTCTTGCCCTGCCAGGTTTGCCCAGCAAAAGTACTCCTCCATCTACAGATTCAGACTGCAACAGGTGATTTACTTTTAGGGAGTGCTGGTATGAGACAAGAGAAGTCTCAAGAACCACTTGTATGTGGGCAAACATTTTGCATATAGGTATTCATGTATTCTAGCACACAGAACTATCTAGGCAGAAATATGCTGTTCCCATCCATCACCCAAGGGAACACATCCTCAGGACGTGGAAGGCTCCACGGAGAACTGGCACAGCTCCAGGCTGGGACAGACAATGTTTTGCTCCACCTGATCCAAGAGCCATTTAACTTCGGCGATCAATGGGAAAAATATGGATGATTTAAACACAGATATGAATGGCCAATTAGTAAAACAAATATCCCAGAGTAAAGTCACCAATGTCCCCTCGACAACAGCTTTCTCCAGATGAGTCACATACTCCATTTTTATAGAAAATAACCCACTTAAAGGCCAGCTATGATGCTGAATAACAACCCCCCTGCTTAATGCAGGTGAAAGCTATCCAACTTGAAAGAACTGAATGAAACCACTTTGCTTTCAACCTACACCACAGATACACATTTTCAGAACAGTCCTGCAAATACATGGCAAATCAGCAGCGCATATATTAGCTGTACAGAGATCAGGAGCCTGATTTGTCATTCTAGGAATAGCAGGACTATCTGGTGTCTATTCTGGTCAGCCCAGCCTGGATGCAGAACAAGAGGATACTTTTCAATGGTGACATGGAGAGTAGATTACATCCTTCACGGTGCTAGCTTATATCTTTCAAACATGCAAAGGAACTTTCTGGAGAACTGAAGGAGAACAACATCTGAGACAACTATCCCACACAAGAGAAAATATATCTTTTTAATTATGATGGTTTCAGCTCTGCCTGCCCTCAAAAATAAGGGTAGCAAAAGAGTGAAGCACTACTGACATATGCTCCATGAGCACTCCACAATGAAACCTATGTTCAAATCACTTGATCCAAACTCCAAACCATGCACTTTAAGCATACAGCTATTAGCAACAAATACAACAGAAATGCTTATTAAGTGCATGCCTTGCAGAGGACATACATGCTACACCTTGTTAATTTTGGGCTGCAGCGTCCCACTGTTTTGTTCATTTGCACATCAGACATCCAGTTTCTGCTCTCACATCTTCCACTGACATTTTTTAGTGCATTCCTCTGTATAATCAAGGCACATTCATGATAGAGGATGTGAAGTTCAGACAAGGAAAGCACTTATCCTAAAGTTGAGAAAAATTAACATCACAGAAGCTCCACCACATCACACTGCTTGCCATCTATCCAGAAGGAAAGCTTCAGATAATAGAAACTACCTCTGTGAAATCAAGAGTGAGGGGGAAATATTCTTCTTTACAATGATGTCTGAAAGCAACCCCATGCAGAAACACTCTGCATGGCTGTGCCTGGGAGGAGAGAAGAAGCTACAAGGTGTACAGGAACACAAGGTATGTAAACCATTGGAGAACCAAAGGGAAAGAGAAGCAAGAATACCATTTAAAAAAAAAAAACAAAAAACAAACAAAAAAAAAAAAACAACAAATGAAAACAGGGAGCCATCTCCTACCCTCAGATAGGAATGCACAGCTCCCGGTAACCAGAAATACAAGGCCAAATTCTGCCCTCACATTCCTAGGAAATCCAAAGCAAACTTTCATTCCGTGTTTGAAGACATAAAGGATACTGGAAGGAACACGCGTCTGTGAAGCAAGCTTCCTGGTAGAAGTTTTAATTCAAGCCTTCTCGTGTGTGCAGGAGCGGGTAGGGCCACATGAGAGCAAACCACCAGAAGAGCTGCAGGACTCAAGTGGAAGTGGTGGCCAGCACCAGCTGCCTGCACTGCTACACCAACACAAAAACCTCTGGGAAAGAATAAGAGTATTGTACACTGTAGCAAGCACATCACCATTGCTCATTCCCAAGCTAGCCAGTTACATCACCTTTCTTGCCCAACTGAATGCTGTGTTGAACACAGCTTATATCTTTGCCATAATCCCCGCAAAAGGAAAACCATAGAAAAGCACAACATACTTGCCCTAAAGAGAGCGCAGTAAGTTTAACCATAAAATTACAAGAATAAAGTTGAGGAAAGGGAGTTAAGTGACATATTGTAACAAACCCAGTATTCAACAAGTACTACAGGTTTAACATAATCTTTGCACCACAGCTCCCAATTCTCTTGAGATGGAATTGACCTAATTTTTATTTAAAAGCAAACTGAAGTATTTATAAACAGTCCTTTGAAAACGTATTCAGGTGCAATTTAACTGTTTAACATCTATAGTGATTTTGACTTGGCAGGTCAACTCTAAAGCTCACGTGTTTGAAGCTTCTTTATGAGATCCTAGGGAAAGAGGATAGCTGGATCTGACAAAGTAAAACTTCTAACTGCTGCCAGCCAACCCTCCTACACACAAACAGATTATATCGAGTCTGAAAAAATACACGCAGTGTGAATTAGCCAACGTCCTAACTAGCTCTCAAATCAGAGAATATTTATCAGCCAAAGTAAACTCTACAGCAAATAAATGGCTTCACAGTGGAGGGGTGGGGGGAGTAGGTCGTATCATATCTTAATGAAAAACTAGGCATACTGTAATTGCACACAGTAATTTGATGAAAACTGGTTGCCCCACCATGTCTATGTCTGTCTTTCACTACTTTGTTAAGCTTTTTAAAGAGGAAGTTTGATAGATTTCTGATAAGTGTTACTGAAGTAAGCCTAAATGAAGCACAGCTTTTAAATGTGGAAAAGTGTCATCAACTTGTCAAATTGCAACTTAAAAGTCAAGCTCAACAAACACCTTATATTTCAAGTAATAAATTATCAATCATAACTCGTTAAGTATCTTTACATCAGTCATTTAGCTAAAAAATTCTGACGAATTTCCCCGGCACCGACTTGTACGTCACATACTGTAACACTCAGAGCAATAGATACCACAAAGAACTCTGACCTCCCAGGTCTTCTCAACACACGACAGTCCCTCACAATGCTCAATCACTCCTGCTTTCAGTTATATTTATTCATAAATTATACAAATATGCAAGACGACATGATGGTCCATTGAATATTTTAAATACTTTCTCAAATTCTCCAAACAAAGGCAATTTAAAAAGCGGCAAATATGAATAGAAAGCTGATGAATTAAATGAATTAAAATTAGAAGCTATTCATAAGGGTTCATTAAAAGCTAAAGAGAAGTACAATGTTCTAGACCAAAGGATCACATCTGCAAGTAAGGCTCTTAACCTGAAATCATCAACTGCTATCCCTCTTAATAGCCCTTTACAGACAAAACATCCTACTACCTCAACAAACAGTTTGAAAATTACCATTAATAAAAAGTAAAGGCATAGGAGAGAAAGCTGCTCAAAAAGCTCTCAAAATGAACATCAGCATGGTGGCCAAATGAAAATGACTGAATCTGCTACAAGATACAACCCATATGGGCTCCTACATCTCATTAAGGCTCTCCTACAAACACCCATGCACATGCTTGACACCACGCTGCGAGAGCTCGCCGTGACTGCAAGGCTACGCGCTGTAGTAGCACACACAGTTAAAGACCAGGCAACTGCAGGATCAATGTGTTTCACCTGAGCACACAGGGAAGCCAAGGAAACAGAAACCCACAGAAATCAAGCGTGCTGTGAAGGTTTAGTTGCATGACAACAATACTGAACAAAACAAGTGAAGAATCAGCTCTAGATGAGTACAGAACACTACTGTCCCAAAAGCTCGACCTTATTCAATGTTACAACTATGCAATTTAAAATGCTTAAGTTCAAGACCTCTGTTTAATCTGTAAAAAGCAGAGATACTTGTAACCAACACGCATCCTAAAAATACACAGTAAAGGGCTACAGTGCTCTCTGTTGCTGTAACTCGAGAGTTTCAGTGGACCAAAAGCATGCTCTCCATTAACAATGTAGGCACTTCACATTGTCTAAAGCACAGTGTGAACAATAACCAACCAAACACGCTTTCACCTCCTTTGTCAGTCACATCAAGACAGCTAAGTCATGCAAACAGCCTGCTGATGAGAGCATCTCAATACACCACTGCACTCAAAGGAGGGAAATGATGCCTTTCACAATGGAAAAGACTACTTCCTTGGCAGAGCAATGGAATTCAAATATACAAGGTACAACAGGAGCAAAATCAGAAGTCATCAAAAGTAGAACAAAGCAGAAAAAGAAAGAATAAGCAGAGCACCTCATGCCTGTTTTAGCGCCAACTGGTATTTCTAGGCAAACTTTCTGAACCCACTAACTGCGAGAGTGCGAGTTGGGGGGGGGTGGGGGTATTTAGATTAAATTAATTAAATTACTGTACACCAGCTTCACCATCTCACAAAGACTTCCACAGTTACCCAGTGCAAGGCAATCAGGGAGACCCAACAGCTAAAGCTTTCAGAAATCCGCACCATTCCCACACCGAGCATAAAGCCGATCCCTTTCAGATGACAAAAGACACTGAGAGATCAACATCTCGGGAAGGGAGTTGTTCACATAGCATCAGCCGTTTCCTTTCTCATCCCCTAATTCTCAGTCATTTCTACTCCTGTAGAAAACACAGGTAAATCTCCACCCAGACCACAGAAGACCATGTGCCCCAAACCACGGTCAGAATGTTTTTGGCTGGCTGAGGATCTCCAAAACGTCCTCAGTACATGAGCAACAAAAAACGCACAGAACAACAAAAAGATTCAGGTCGCTGACACATCCACAGAACATGTCTTCCAGTTCCAATTAAATGCTTGAAAGAGAATTTTTAAGATCCACAAGCTTTTGAACGGGGACAGAAGGGGCCGTACCGGGGGAAGGGGGGATGCAACCATCCGATATCCAGGGAACACGGGGAAAAAAAAAAAAAATCAACAAGTCGGCGCAGCCCAGCATGGAGCAAAAGCCGCGTCGGAAGGTGCGGACGTACCTTGTGGAGGTGCCTTTCCTGACATCGCAGATACTGCACTTGAAGGCTTCGGCGCTGTTCCTGAAGGTGCACACGCTACAATCCCAAAAGCCTTCGTCGGCTGCAGGTTTGGCTTGCCTTTTCGGCCTTGAGGAGGGGGAGGGAGAGGGGAAGCGTGTGTGTACGTGTGTGTTTGGGGAGGAGGAGAGAGGCGGCGGAGGGAGGAGGGAGAGGAGGAGGAGAGAAAGAAAACACACACATGAGAAACCATGTTACAGAGCCCCGAAACCCAGCGCCCGCTCTCACCGCCGCTCCCCCCGCCCCGCGCCGGGGAACAGCCGACAAACACCTACCGGGGCCGGCGCCCGGAGAGGTGCGGTGCGGCCCCGCGCTCCGCCCCCAGCCCCGCGCCGCGGGAGGGCCCAGCCGAGCCGGGCCGAACCCAGCCGGGTCGGGCCGGGCGCGTCCCCCTGCGCCCCCTACACCGCGGCGGGGGCCGCCCCCCTCCCCTCGGAAAGAGGGTGGGAGAGTTTGAAGGCTGGGAGGCGCGTTCCCTCCTCCACCTTGTTAAACCTCCCTTTGTCTGGGAGCAGCGAGTGCGCGGAGCGGGAGTGCGAGCGAGCGGAGCCGCCATGGCTGCTCTCTCACCACACCAGCCCTGGTACCGGCGGCAGGCAGGGAAACACCGGCACTGCTCCTCCCGCTGCCCTTCCACGCTCCCTCCATCTTAGGAGCCTCCTTCGCTCCCTCCCCGCCTGAAGCAACCCCCCTCCGCCCCGACCCCCCGCGTACCTGCCCGGCTGGCGCGGGCTCACCGCCCCCCTCCCAGCGTTCCCTCCATCTTAGGGAGCCCCTCGCCGCCCCCCCCGCGGCAGAGCACACGCACGGAACTGCCAGCCACGGGCCTACCCACCGCCATCCCCTCCCGCCGCGCCAGCGCCGAGCCGGGCCGGGCCCGCCGTCGCCGCTGGGGCAGGGTGCGGAGCGGCCAGGGGCGGCCCTCGCCGCGCTCCCTCCATCTTAGGTGCCTCTCCCCGCGCCCCCCGCGCCCCCGCTCACCTGGTCGGGCTCTTCTTGTCGCCCATGACCATGGATCGGGGCCGCCCCTGCCCTGCGCACAAAGAAAGAGGCGAGGGGGAGGGGGACGGGGCTGCCTCCGTCCAGCAGGCTCCGGCTGCTCCGCACCCCCGCGCCGCCGCTCCTGCCGCTGCCAGGCTCCGCTCCAGACTAGCAGCGCAGCCCGGCGCCCTCCCTCCTCCTCCCTTCTCTCCCTCCCCGCGCCGCGCCGCTCCGGCGGGCGGAGCTCACCGCCGCACCGCGGCCAATGGGGGCGGCCCCGCCGCCAGCCCCGGCGGGGAGGAGAGTGGGGAGCGCCCCCCGCGCCGCGCCGCCCCCGGCCAGGAGCCCCTTCGGGCCGCCTCCCGCCCTCTTTCTCCTCAGCGCCGCAGGCGCTGCCCCCCGCAGGGGTACCCCATCGCAGCGGGAGGGCTGGCTCCTCTCAGCCGGCGGTGGCGGGTGGCCCCTTCCTTTCCCCTCCCTTCCCCCTCGGAGGGCTTGTCGCCTGCCCGTCCCCGGGGCAGCGAGGCCGAAGCCAGGGGTGCCGCCGGGGCCTGCTGTGGGCGGGAGCCCGTCAGGGCAGAGCGCGGCCGTGCGGCCCCGTCCTGCCCGCGTGAGGGGAGGCAGGTACCGGTGGGGGACGCGCGGGCCCGCTCCGTGCGGGGCTGGACGGCCAAACCCCTGCCTCGCCCCGCTGAGCCGCTGCGGTCGCAGTCACCCGGCAGGGCTGGGCGGGCAGGAGAGAGCTCCTGCTCCGCGCCCTTTCCTCGGGCACGGGCCCGCTGCGCCGCCACGGAAACCTCGGCTGCCACCTTTGTGAATCTCCTTAACGCTCTGGGTCAGGTCACCAACCCGAGCAGAGCCGAGGGCGTTTAGATAGCGCGGCCGAGGTCTTCCAGGTCAATCCCTCCATGATCTTTCAATTCCACCGAAAGCACAAGCCGTGGTTCTGCAAAACTCCCGAGGTGGCAAAAAGTGGTGTGTCCCAGAAAACGACAGTCCTGCCCCAAGTTTCCCCTCTGGCTCTTTAGGTCTGTGGAAACACTGGCATGGTGGGCTGGGTGTCAACGTGCCAAGGACGAGCCCTTACTGTCTTTGCTGAGCCTCTTTCCAAGCAGGGCTGGTTCCTCAGCAGCAGCTGCAGGAAGAGATGGGAGCAATGAACAGCCGAGGAAGGACGGGTAGTGAGTGATGAGTAAAGACAGAAGAGGGTTCCACCACTCCTAGCTGCACGAGCACTAGCCTTGCAGGGCAGACATTTTTGCACCGTGCTTTCCCAGTTTCTCACTGGTAACTAAGCCAAGCTAACAGCTCCCACCAGTGAAGAGCAAACTTCAACGCAAGGCAAGAAACAGCACAGGCAGGAGGGATGTCTGTGGGCTGCACAGGGCTGTGCCTGAGAGTGTGGCGAGCAGGGCTGCAGACTGAGGGTGAAGACAGCCTGAACCAAGTTAACCAATGGCTGAATATAAGGCAAAAATACCTAAACATCAAACCTATTTTAGTGGCTTATGGCAGGATACAGTCCTAGTGTAGCAGGAGGCAAGCATAACCATGTCTTGCGCTTTAAATCTTCAGTGATCTGGACTCACTCACAAGCCACAGAGGTTTTTTCCCTTCTGCCAATGCCCATTATAACAGTAAAATCTTGCTGACAGAGTCACCTCCCAGTACTTGATAGCTACATGTAATCCACTCACCCTACCCAGCCCCCTCATCCCCATACAGGTAATTTAACCCTTGCTGGCACCTCCGCCAACAACTTTAACTGCGATTTGCACGGATGAAGACTTCTGATGACTTCTTGCTACGCCACACAAGTTCCCGAACAATCCAGTGAGAAACAGACATACTCCAAGGGCAGAGTTAAGGTTGTGCAGTTATCACATGTAGGAAGTGTCATTTTCCCATTGCATCTGCTGTTTTCCAAACATTTTTGCTCTTTTAGATTACAGCAGTAACGTTTGCTTGGGAATCTGTGTGGGAACAGTAGCTCAGCAGTGCTCAAGGGGTCTGGTAAGCACAGAGTCCTGTTGTGCAATCGCTACCAGAACTTCATGGCAATAATGCTTATGGGGACAGCAAGAACACTGATTTTGGGAACAAGGTCAGCAGAGGAACTGAGAAGAAGCACAGAAAGGCAGAAAGTGCTGAAATTTTGGCTTGGGGGGAGATCCAGGCGCAGTCTGACTCCCATTTTCTGCCACAGCTGCTTCTCTCAGCTCCCCATTGCTACATTCAGCAGAACAACAGCCACCACAGGCACAGAGTAAGTTATTGTAGAAACATTAGGGAGCTACAACCCAGTTTAGAAAGTGATTTTTCTGCTCAAAAAAAGTTTCTGAGTTAGTTTTCTTTCCAAAATCTTACTACATCCTTTATTATCAATTCCCCTGGAAACCTTCTTTCCTCAGCAAATAAAGCCTTCAAAGTCACTTGGCAACCTAAGTATGGTGGGACTTCATGCGATCACGTACACGCAATGGAAGGTGATCATTCCCAGTTTGTTAAACACACTTCAGAACTGCAGCTGGGTGTCTTTGCCTTCATGGATGGCTCCTGGAGGAGCGCAATGGTGGGCTCACACATTGATCCAGGTGGAGCTTTTGGGATGCTGTGTCCTGCATGCAGCACTTCCCTGCTGAGCCCTCCAGACACTGACTCACCAAGACAGGAACCATGGGCAGAAATCAGGGCTGTAAATACAGTCAAGCTAAATGACAAATGCCTTGGTGTGGTATTTCTTTCACACTGCGGTGTTAGCACAGTGAGCTGTTCTGCTGGCCTCAAAATTCACGGAGGTGGTGTGGGCAGTATACTCCACTGAGAATTTAGGGATTTTTAATGGAGTTTGGGGTCTCTTGTGCTCACAAGCTAGCCTTGGACAAGTCAGTACCTTTTCTCATTAACTCCAGATGTCTGGATTTGAAAAGTGAAAGAAGCCAATTTCTAGGCTCACACCTGAATCTATGGCACTAATTTTCAAACCAGACTCATTCCAACTAAATATTTTGGACTCCACAATGCTGTTCAGCTGGTGCTAAATCCCCCTGAAGAAATTCCCACCCTTGCCTCCAGAAGATACCGCTTTCTCATCGGTGCTGTGTGCAACTCCTTGTTTGAGAGCACTCTCAACTGCAAGAGGAGCCTGTTAACACACTTCTCTCCACCTCTCTCCTTCCCCCACCATGTGTATTTTAAATGACAAAAGGCTTATAAAGAGACACTGCAGATGCTTCCAGACTGTGACAAGAGTCATGGCACTGGGACAGGCATGCTCAGAGCAGCTGGGAGAGCAGGGCACAAACCTCTCAGGCCAACCTGGCTGCCACAGCCTATGCTGGGAGCTTATGCACAAACGGCTTTTTTGGCTTTGGCTGTACATGAGTACGTCCTTCATGTCAAGTATGGAGAAATTGGGATGAAACGGATGAAGCACCATTACCCTTCTGCACCATCTCAGCACCTCATCTTTCTCGCCCAAACCATCCCTTGCCCTAGCAGCATCATAGCCGCTCCTGCTTCCTTGCTTCATCCCTGAAAACAGGAGACAGTCCAAACTGACATTCCGTACCCTCCACAGAGCTGCTGCCCAAGGGTGCTCAGAGGCACACTCCAAGCTAAGCACCCCTGTTAGTAGCCTCTTCAGCACCGTGAGACCTCTGAAACCTGGCATGCCAAGAGCACAGAGGTAATTCCCTGTGCCCAGACCATCGGTATAAATGAATTGAAAAGCAAACTGGGACACTACACATGCAGCCAAAGTCAGTATTTGTGCATAAAGTTCAATGCCAAATATAAATATTAACTTGAGTTCCTCAGGCCCTTTGGTGACTGTGGTAAATCTGCATTTTTGTAATTCTGCATCAGATGTGCGTAACTTCTCAGAAGTGACTGCTGCCCAGAACAGCCCAGACTGTAACCCCTAGTAAATGACTTTTCTGTGGATTTAGTAAGGAGTTTCTTACATAGGAGTTGGAATAGAGCTCAGGACACAGGTCTCTCTATTAGTTTAGCCAGAGCTAAAAGGATCAGAAATGATGATGCTGCTCTCTGGGGCAGGGAAGTTGTTTATCACCACACAATTAGCACCTTTTAGTTGAAGTGGGTGGCAAGGGAAATTAGCAATTGAGGGTAGAAATGGTGAACCAGCTACACTAAAGCACCTAAAAGCCAGCATTCATCTCACTGTATCCTGAAGGGGATTAAATGTGTTTGGCCTTCCCAGGTTTCCAGGAGGAAGAGAATATCAAGGAGTGGAAGAAAAAGGAGCAGTGTGAAAGCCACTGGACTTCATGCAAAGTAGCATAATGCTTGCCACACCATAAGAGCATCCTTAGGAAGGGAAGCAGGAGCCTATGCTCCGAAACCTGGAAGTCTTCACCACAAAACAAAACACCAAACCAGAAAACATGCATTGACAAGAGGCACTGGTGGCCAACTGCATCCTCTCTTGTTCTTAAAGCACAGCATTAACTGCCATCAGCTTCAGGTGCTGCTGCCAGAGAGGAGTCAGGGAGAAACTACTCTTGGAAGTCTCACTTAGCACTTGATAGCATCTTTGAAAATGCAGCCCTGGCTTTGTTTGCAAGCTTTTGGGGGAAAGCATTGTGCTAGGGATTGTGTAAACACAGAACTGGCTGATGGATGGCCCTGGTGCTCCACAGAGATTTATGCATGCTTCGGCAGAATGTACTGAATTAGCAAGCATCTCAGATTAATACAGGGGCACTGAGAGACTTTACTGATAATCATGGGAGAGCAAGATAAGGAAGAGTTACCACACAGTGTTCCATTTTCCAGACATCAATAAAGACTCAGATGTGCGATATTTTTAGCTGTGCTGGGAGCACAGGCATGGCAAAGTTGGCAAGGGATGAAGCAAGGAGAACCATGAAGCTGGAAGATCATTGGTAGACCTTCTCAAAAAATAGCCTTGGGATGAACATTACTTGGTATTTTCCTTAGTGACCACATTAGGAAAAGAAGGGATTGTTCTCATAACCTGAAGATGAGAAGCAGAATGTCACATTGGAAGAAAATAATAACTTTGAAAGAGAGCAAAATGGAAATAGGATGAAATACAATTTAGGCAGCTGGGTGCCTGTAATAAAACTTTCTGACTCAGAGCAGAAGCTCATTGGTATGGCACACACAAGGGAGAAGACCTGTCTCAGGTATTTGCGTGCCGCTGGTGTGA